GCGACTGCTGGGAACATCCATATTCTCTTGAAGCCATCGGGCGAGCCCATCGTCTTCCCCTGTCGACTTGGTCTTTCCGCATTCCAGCAACAGGTCCTCGACGACGGCGAGGCTCCTGGCACCTCGGTCAGGGAAATCGACTTAATCAAGCTCAATCCTCCAATTCACGCACTGGAGATACGAAGAGTATATATCCAGTATCGGTGAGTGGAATACCATTATTGGCCTGGATATATTGGACAGCTTGACGATGGTACATGAAACGAAGAAGAGGTTTTGTCAGCTTGCGGGGATTGATTGTGATTCCATTCAGCCCGGGATTGCTGTCTGACCACCAGCTGATGAGACTGGCGCGCGACTGGTGTGCGAGCGGCTGCATGAAGGGAGAGAGATGGAAGATGGGAAGAGAGATGCAAATGTGGAAGCACACAGCAAGAAGTTGATGGAATGCCGTTCGGAATCAATTCGGATTAGTTAGGTTCCCGCACCGCCCGACGTCCCGTCAACTTGCACACGCACAGATTCTGGCGGCCCTCGGTTCCGTGGAAAAAAGAACGGTCTTTATTCACAGATACATGAGAAACTGCAATGCGGAGCAGGAAGAGCAAGAAGAAACACTGGGGATTTTACTACCACTCGGACGGTGAACCTACACACACTTTCAAGTTCAACTTCTCAGAGCAAAGGATTAAACGTACCATGTCTTTGAAACTTCACGTGAGCTGAAACCGCAACCTCTCGGGGTCTACGCTGTTCACGAGTTCCGCGAAATCGAACCGGTCATCCTCCCCGTTCCAAAGATCATGAACCACAGCGTGGAAAGGCTCTCCTCCAAACGATCCAACGCGCAAGAGAATCAAGTCGATATACACTTCCTCCGTGAACCTAAAAAACATGGCGCAGTATAAATACCGCAAATTCGGGATGAGGCAGGCATCGGGACCAGAGTCTTGGGTGAGGCGTTGGAGGAGGAAATCTTTGATGAGGAGGTGAGATGGCTGGTCTGAAATCTCCAGCCGCTCGCGAGAACCCAGGTATTCCAGGGCGCGGGTCAGCTCATCCTCTGTGATGAAGACGCGGCTGATGCGGAGGACTCGCAGGGTATTGTGAAAAGACGATCGGGCAGCGAGAGGCTTAAACTGATTCGAAGGCCAGTATAAGGGACGGGACCCTGGGGAGATCCCGGGGTCGACGGTCAGAGTGCGGAGATTGGGCAACGTCAAGCAGCTCCAGAGTTCACCCACCCGCTGACCACCCACTGCATCGCCCCGAATCATGATGCTAACAACGAGAGAGGCGATTGTGGAAGTGATTGAAGGAAGATTGGGAGAAGGACGCGCAGGTATGCCTCGGATGGTGAGAGCGGCATCGGGGTGCGAGAGTTGGGCCATCGTGGATAAAATACTGGCCATGTCGAAGATGTAATGAGGGCAATAATCAAAGGAAAGTAGCTGGCTCCAGGGAAGCTTTGGGATTATGGAGCATGTAACGTGCGCTAGTCTCGGCGCTGTTTCGAAAGCACGGAAGTTTTCATGGCAATACGGAGGGGGACAGCAGGGAGCCGGAGTTCCTGCAGGTTATCCAAAACCAACGTCCCCCCTTGGGAGCCAAGGGCACTCTCAATGTCAAGCGTCGTTATCGGCTCCCAGGAAAGACGTCGCCAGCGCGGAGAAGACTCGGTGATGAGGCCTACGACTTCTGCACGGTGTTGAGCAGACGTCGGCAAGGATGCAATGGTTAAATCCATTGAATGAGGACGCGCTCGTTCAAGGACCATTTGCAGATCACCGGAAAATCGCAAGCACTTCTGTTCATCTCGTCCACAATGACGAGCATCGACCAGGATCTTGGACCAGAGCTTGGGAGCCCCCGTGACTATGGCCCTCCATTTAGTGCAAACTCGGGAGACATGGGAAAGGTCAGGCTTGACGAGAACGTGGAGGGAGTTGGCCATGTGGCGGTTGGGCGGCTCCGAGAAATGCATGAAGATCTCACATAAGATCTCTGGTGGCAAGCGCCTCACGGGCGAGTAGAGACCGTGGTGTCCGTCAATATGGACCTGGAGGCGGGCACGTTCGGCGACCATCCTATCGACCACCGCCTGTATCGTTTGGATCGCGTTGTCGTATTGCGCAGCGGCTGCTATCGCAGCCGCGAGTTCCGAGTGGTGCAGGGAGGCGTCAGGAGGCGTGTACGACGAACTGAGTAGTCGAAGAAGCTCCTCATACTGCCCTGGGGTAGGGAGGGCGGTCGAAGGAGGTAGAGGATTCGCACAGCGGGCACAATGACAAGGTGGCTCGGATCAAGTCGAGTCCGTGGGAATCGGACTTGCCTTTTTCGCTCTTTCTTTTTTTTTTTTTTTTTGGTGGAGCGAACAGCAGGGGAGCAACTGATCAAATCAGCCCTCCCTCGCGCGCTTTTTTCTCGGGGTACTTGTGCCCACGAAGAGAAAAATTTGGAGACCCTAGGAAAATACGTTTACGTACGCCGGTGTGCGGCAGTGTGGGACTCAACTCCTCCCCGAAGCCGAAGCTAACGGTTCCGCCCCGGGGGGCGGAGAGGAGCAATACCCACTAAAAACCTAGACTCCCTCAGAGATACTGCCGGGAGATTTTCGTCGCCATCGAGGACATTCTTCCATGTGTTTAGGACGATTTTGAAATTCAATGCTCTGTTCTCGAATTTGAGTTTGTCGGTCATGATGAAGTCTGAGCGAAGGCGTTCGTTGATGCATGCGAGCCACTTGTTGTGGATTTCGTATTCTGAGGGATACTTTTCGGGATCGCTCCCGTTGTCGATCACCCGTGTGCATCGGGTTTTCCAGATTTGGTGAGCCGTTTCGGAGATCAAAATTCGGTACAGCCGGTCCGCACCACTATCTTTCTTCCCACTCGCATCGTGGACTCCTGCAAAGCCGCAGGCCAGAATACCGCCCAGGGATACCTCGGGCCAGGAGTATCCTTTCATTTCCCATAGTTGTTGGGCGAGGTCCCACATCTTTTCTCGCCCTGGGGCGTCGCATTCGAGCAGAATGTGCTCAAGGGTGTCATCGACGTGGCAATGCCGACACTCCGCGTAGTGCTCGTACGTCGGTATGTTGAGCCAGTACGTTCCAACTTTGTATGCCTGATGCATGCATCTCCACAGGAAGTCCCTTGTTTTCCTGGTGATATCGGGGTGGTACAGTGACTTCCAGATATCGGCGTCCGTCGGAGTTTTCCCTCCCAGCATCGTGGCCGCGTCTCTGGCTCTTGAGAGCATTTGATTGGTTTTTGCTCGGTCTGGCCTCTTTCGGCGCGCTTTAAGCGCTCGGTAGAAGGTGCGTTGTGTGCCCTTGCTCAATTTCATTCCTGAGACCTTGTAGCCTTGCGGGATGTCGATGTTTAAGACGGCGTCGGCTTCGTTGCGGACGCCCTGTGCGGCTAAGGCCTGTGCTTTTCGCATTCCGGTGCTATGCTCCATATTCATTTTTTGGAAGGTGCATTTGGTTCCGCGACCGCGGATGGCGGCCACGATGGCCCTGAGGAGCTTGTGTTCTTCTACATCCACCCAGTCTGTATCCTCCTTGCTCTCTAGGTCCGTTGTAAGGTGCCTGATTGTCGTCTTGCAGCCCACTTTGAAATGGAGCTCTGTCAGTAGTGGGTGGCTTTGCAGCGCGCACAGGATGGCCGCCGCGACTCCGCTTCGTTTCGATGCGAGATCTTTAGGGACTGGGATGCTGGTATTCCCTTTTTCGCTCTTTCCCTTTGACCAAAACTCGCGACTCGTCCCCATCCCTCGCCTTCATCAGACTCTGTCCCGTATTGCCATGCTCAACGAGTCTTGAAGGCCTTCTACCGACGTCGATAACGATGCCCCGCTGACAATGTCCAGTGTCCGTCTTGCGTCCGTCTCTGGGACAGCTGCAAATTCAATTCAGTCGCCAGCGCAATCTTCCTAGGCCTGCCCTACCGCTTCTGTCTGAGCTGCACTCCACGGCCCTCTGTCAACTACAGTGCAGCGCTTTGCCTGTTCTGCGGTTCTTGCCCTAGAGTCTAGACTAACGATGCTTCTTGTTCCAAGATCTTCCTCACGCGCTAAGCACATCTGCTAAGCCCTTCTCCTTCCACTCGCCTCATCCCATATCGGCGCCCACAGACGGGCCGTACGAGCTCCGTTCCGAGCATCGTCTCACGTTGGCTGTCGATGCGCCGAATGCTGCCGACATTCCTCAGACTCGGTCTACAGCATACTTTCTACTCGGTCACGCCCCCCGTCTCATGTCGTGGACGCTCCTCTCCGCACCCAGGCTACGCAGCGTACGCTCTCCGTCAACTGTCGCGAATCTTACTTAACGCGCTCGCTACCTAATAAAGAATACATTACATTCCAGATACACCTAACAAATACAAGGACCAAGTACATATCGTGCTTTGCGGAGGAACATTGAGATCGTGAAGAAGCGTGCCCGGACGCCCGGGTCATCGTAGAAGCACTCCACACTCCACACCCATACTCTCAGCGGTGGTAATGGCTGGATTTACGAACTTCTCCGCTTCCCCGCTCTTCAAAGCTTCACCATTTATCGCCCAGATTTTGAGGAGATCCCGAACGAGGATTTGCGCGACTTCGCATCGCATTCGGCTCAGTCCCTTCGGCGCTTTTCCTACCATGGGTCTCGTACACAGTACCACTGCCCCATGGAATTCACCTGGCTCCAATGGGCGCCGAAGTTCACCGATGTTCCCCTTACCGATGTGGATTCCGCGGAGAGACCGATTATTCTACCGACTGTATATATACAATTTCGTACGCCACCTCCATCTGCGACTGGATAACGCCTTTCTCCCGAATACACGCGGCGGTCGTTGGAGGCGGAGGACCATCGGTTTGACATGGATCCGGTGGCTTTGACTTATATTCTGTTTCTGATGGGGCACCGAGGAGGGTGGGGTGGAGAACCGTTGTTCATTCCGGGTTATTGGCGTTGACGTCTGGCGAGGCGCGGGATTCAAAAAGCATGGCATCACCGTGGATTGAACACGGGACCTCCAGATACATTCGAATCGAACACAAATACATTTTACTTCAGTCTGTTGATCTCCCAGCTGAGCTATGACGCCGCATGATCAATATTCTGCAGTCCGTTCCGCTATTATCGACAACCGGGTACAAGGCAAACTCGAACCATTGGTGCGCGTTATCCAAAAGTTCAATGAAACGACGATAAGACATGGGTGGAAAAAGGGCCGCTGAAATGTTCAATAACTTGGTGGAGAGACTTACTCACACTCGCTGCCTCGCAGCACTTCTCACAATAAAGATAGCCCGGGCCAGTCCATTCATAAGCATAGACAAAGAAAATTACTTTGGCGTGACCTTCCCATATGTCTTCCACATAAAATTCAGAGCCCACATCCTCGGCAACCATTTGAACAACGCAAACACAGCCGAATGGCTCCCCATTGTTGAATAAAATGGTGCTCCCTTCTTGAACGTCTTGTCCACCACGATCCTGGCAAATTCCTCCGCGGTCAACGACGTCGGAACCTGACTAGCCCACATGCGCTTCACGATCGTGTCCAGATACACCTTGTACAGCGAGTCTTCGGGCAGGGCGAAGCGCGCGCTGGCGTTCTCAGCCACGTTGGTCTTAATACCACCGGGGCAGATGAGGAGAACTTTGATATCGAATGGGCGGCATTCCATTTGCAGGACCTCGGTGATGGTGTGGGCGGCGGCTTTGGAAGAGGCGTAGACGCCTGCCCAAGGTGTGGGTCTGCGAACTTTATCAGATAGATTCAACTGATATCTAAAAAGAACTTTCATCTCCCCGACTATGGAACCAATGGTGACTATTGTCCCAGACTTTCTCGCAGCCATGTGTGGCATCACAGCGCGCGACGTCCGAATAATGGAGAGTATATTTGTGTCGTACACCTCCCGAATCTGGTCTACCGGTACCTCCAAAATAGGGCCTCCAAAGAAATTCAGTGGTTGAAAGAGAAGAAGGAAGGGCGAAACACACCGAAGCAGGCCAGCCCAGCATTATTCACAAGCACATCAACCCGCCCTTCTCTGGTGATGATGTCCTCGACAACGGAGACAACGTTCGTGCTATCAGTGACGTCGAGAGCCATGAGCTCAATGTTCGGCACCCCGACGAGGTTGTTCATCTTGTCGACCTTGCGTGCAGTGGCGTACACCTTGCCTGCTCCGGATTGGCCATGGAGCGGGGAAATGAAAGTGGAACGACTCACACCCTCGACTCGCGAATTCCATGCACCTGAAAGATTATCAGCCAAAGAATGAAGTTCTAGAAGCAACACAGACATGGTGTTCCCGACACCTCCCTCTGAGCATCCTGTAACGAGGACGATTTGGCCTTGGGACATTGCGAGGTGGACGTTCGGATGAAAGAGAGGTTACCGGCGGAGCCGCGGAGGCAAATGAATCAAGACCCGCATCAACGGAAGCAGATGGCTACCCACGCCCGAGTTCGCCAAGATCTCCGGAAAACAATCAGGGAGCGGCAGGATCTCAACAGAATCAGATATTCGGACAACAGGTATACCGCTCATACTCATTGTCACTACCTAGCCATCTTACTGCAAAAAAGTTTGCGGTCGAGATTACTAAGAGCGATACCGACTCACCACATCGCCACCAGTCCACCAGATGTTCTGGGAATCAATCATCTGGCGGTTGTAATGCACGCCTCCGAGATCTGCCGCCGCTGTCAAGTTCTCGCACTTCCCATTTATCTCCGCGGTCGTGGTGAAGTCCCACATATTGCGGACGGCCATTTTCAGCCATTCGAAGTTGGGGCCAGTTGTACTTACATACCGAGCTGGATTTATACTCGTATCGTCCACATCCACGGGGTCGTCCTGCAGGCAACCGTGGAACAAATCCAACGCGCGCAGCATCCACGGCACTTGCCAACTCCGCGACATCAATCGCGTGGATAGCCGCGAGGCCTCGGTGGGCCCGGGACGCCGTCTATTACTGTAGAAAATTCGATTCAATTAATGAGTGGCATGAACTTGCGAAGAGGCGAACCAGACGCACGGAATTTATGGCGTAGACAAAGTCGTTCGCTGAGATCGCGATCCGGGAGAACGAGCAGCTAGGCGTCGGAGGAGTTGATTGGGGCCATACAAAATGTCTTTGGGTCGTGTGGATGACTGATGACGCGTCGAGATAATTGAGGTTTGATTGAGGTACGGAATGACCATTGTCATTGACTCATTGACGGCGCGATTGGCCGATGGAGTGAAGAGGATGGTCATTGACAAGGATAAAGTCGTCGAAGAGATGGCGACCAAGATGGTGGCTGAGACGGGTGAAACTCTACATAGGGCACGACGCGACCTGACGGTCAGGAGGAAGTGGCGTCCAGATTATGTCAGCGGATGATCCGGTGTGCCGCGGAAACTCTAACCGGTCCAGGTACGATATCATCGGTTATTGCGTCTGTCTACGAGAGACGCGGAAACTGATATGCGTTGAAATTCAACCACACAAGTCTCAAGCTGCTTGCGAGTCGCACTGGCTCGCAATTTGTACGAGACATCGATAAGTAATCGCGTCCCGCTTGCGCACATTCGCGCTCTTTCTTTGTCGAACCGAATATATTCCACTTCGGGCTTCTCGGGTGTGTTCCAATGCTCACCTGGTATCAGATCCCGATCTCAGTCGGATGCGCCACCGCCACCAGTGCGCGCTGATGCGCCGTTATTTGCCGAGTATCATCAAGCTATTACGATAGAGTTTTTCTTGCCTGTTGGATTTGCGGCTGTGATGAGCGCTGAATGACGCCGACGGGTCTCGCGGAGGCTTACTGTACATACACTATACTCGCCCAATTTCGGAAATTTCGGCTTGCCCGACAAATGAAAACAAATGAGAAGACCGATAGTATGAACTAGATTCCACTGGAATCCAGTTCATACTATCATTCCAGCCCTTCCTCGATCATCATGCTCGATGGCAGACATTCTTCCACGCGACTTTTGGAATGGGATCGTCAGGATCTTCCAGTGGTCGATCAGGGAACTAGGGTGCTGTTTTTAATTCCCAGACCCTTAAAAACCGGTTTACAAACCTGGTTTGCAAACAGGGTGTTTATAAACCGGTTTATAAACCGAGTAGCAGAAGAGGAAATTCACGGTTCTGAGAGCCATTTGTCAACTATTTTCACCTTCCCCGGACGCCGGTGGAGCCTCTGACGTGCCTCTGTGAGTTTCCATAAGCTCTGACTGGGCTTTGACCCACCATTGAGCAAGTAGAACACTCATCAGACTGCCATCAGCACGATTGATGGTATCAGATTGATCCTGTGTGCCGTTTATAAACCGAACATCCGTTGAGAAACATTATAAACCGGGTGTATAAACAGCGGTTTATAAACCGGTTTGCAAACAGGCATTAAAAACAGCACCCTACAGGGAACTTCAGCGCGAATTGAAAAGATAAGCATCATCAGAGACTCTCACCATCCTCGCATCTCCACTGTCAAGAGCTGTACACGCATGCGCCCTCCTAACTTCTCCGTTCTTCCTCTGGATCCGAGTTGCTGACGCCTCGAATCCAGATTGCAGGCCAGCCTTCGGTAGGATTCTGCGCCCGTTCTCGGAAACCACGGTCCCAGTTGTTCCATCTCCCAGCAACGACTGTCACAATGGGCGCCCAACATCAACTATCAATGCATTCCATCTCCACCCTCAATTGGCCATCTCTCACGGGTTGCTCCTCAATGAATCTTTGATTTGCCTCCGCCGACAGCACACATGATACATCCCTGATGTACATCCCGCACACATACACTGGCGGCACGAGGATGCCATCTTAGATAAGGGCCTCTGCCCCTCGGGACCGCTCTCCTCTGCTGCTCTGTCTGCCCCCGCACGCAAAATTTGACCTTTGGTCATGCCTTCAACTGTCCTGGTCCCGACAATGGGTGCCTCCCTCGTCGGGGTGTTCGTTTCTACCTTGTAAGTGCCAATGCCAGTTCCTAAGCGAGCCGTGCGCACTTACCGATTGACCGATAACCCCACCGCGTACAGTCTCTACGGCATCACAACCCTGCAAACGTACTTTTACGTCGAGAATTATTGGAGTAAGGATTCAAGAGGGTTGAGGTACACGGTACGTTGACAGCTTGTTTCGTAGCTTCAAGTCAAGTCAATGACTCACCCACCGTAGGTCGCGCTCCTATGGCTCTTGGAGACGGCGCACACGGCCCTCGCGTGTACCTTCATATTCCGAATGCTCATTCTCAACTTTGGAGACACTGAGGCGCTGCTCTTCACAACTGTGTGCGTACGGGTCGAGTTCATTATCTCGCCGTTCCAACTCATGAGTCTTCAAGTTCGGACGATGTACGCTCCACCGCGACCCGCCCTTGAAAGTCATTTGACATTCCACACACTCAGGTCACACATGGAGTGCTGGGCGCGACCATTTTTGTCGTACATTGGTCAGTTATCTCTCAGTGTGCACCACGACGCGTTCATCTCATCGAGATTTGCAGCTTCTACGTCTGGCGGCTTTGGATTTGTGAGCTATCCGCTGCAGGGGACTCCTTCGGCGGCTGAAATTATCCTTTTCTGTCCAGTCACCAGGAACATCTTCCTCGCGGGGCTTGTGGTGCGTAACCCCGCCCCTCATTCGACAGTCAGCTAATCGAGGTACAGTTCCTCCTGGCTCTCGGTCACCTCGGTATGCAGCCTTTCCCCCATTGCCGAAAGACAGTCTAACTTGTTATATCCCAGTTTTTGAAATCGGTGCGTATGTATAATAGTCAACTCAACGCAAAGGTTACATATTCAATGACCATTCCGCAGTGGTCATGGCAATCCTCTTCGAATTCCCCGCCTTCAGCGAATTTCACCGCGCCACGCCGTTCTTCACCACGGCAATGACAATGGCGGTCGCCGCAGATATTATAATTGCAGTGGCGATGGCGACGAACCTCAAGTCAAAGCAGCAGCGCGTCAAAGAGTGAGCGTCTGATTTGATTGTCAGATTCGGAAGCACCAGTTATTGAACGCAAGTGTGGATTAGGACGAATTCGTTGCTGAACAAGTTGATTGCGTATATCGTGAGCACGGGGTTATTG